AAGTGTAATAAACTAATAATTTACTAAATGTAAAACACAAAAATAAGATGCAACACATAAACAAAGAAAACTCTACAGATTCTCAATAAGAAGGTAAATGAAACTAAAAAAAAGAAGAAAATAAATAAAGAATATATCACTCTTCACCAAAATTAAATACAATTATTCAAAACACATTCAAATATATAATATATAAAAATCAAAGTATATCCAAATATGTAATCAGTTCTTCAGTTCAATGAAAAGTCTTAGTTGACTCAATCCAGACAAAAAGAATAATTCAATAAATTATCAGTTCAGTTCAATCCAGTTCGCCCTGGTAGCGAATTACCGCACGCAGGAGAGTCCCTCCTTAATGTGATGGAGAAGGTGAATTGTCGCTCTGGGTCTGGCTCGCCATCCTGAATCCGATCCGTGAATGTGCGCGCCGTGAATGTGCGCGCCGCACAAGGTAGATAAATCCTGGCTCCGTCCGAGCTTCCAACCAAGCAAAAAAACCTGACCAAAACCAATATTCTCAATACAATTCTTGCCAGTTCCCGATCAGGTAGATTATCTTTCATAATTAAATTAACTTTCGCTGTTCATTAATCATCACTCTACTCCGATTCCTCCTCTGCGCTCTCTCTCTCCCCGGCCTGTGAGCTGCAGTGTCAGCTGTGACGCTGGTCTCTTAAAGGGGCAGCGACACAATTTTCTGTTTACAGACTTCCAATCAACTATTTATTACTATTTATGTCAGATTTTAACATGGGTTACAAAGGTCTTTTAAAATGTCTCAAATTTAACCCACTCAAACTTCCAGAAACATATTTCCATTTGTTAGATTTTAAAATGTCACATCATTTCTTTTTCTTAGAAAATCTAATGTAAAAATAGAAATGTTGTTCTCAAGCTCAAAGAGCTGACATCCTGAACAGAGTGTAATTTCCGCTTGACACTGTGAGGAGAGGAAGTGTTCCTAAATTTAAAAACTATCCATGCATCAGATTGTGTTTATGTTTCAAGCGAGGCTGCAGAGGCAGCAGTTCTACCTCCAGGTATTGTTTTAATGACAATACCTGGGCTGTAATACTGTGCAATAATCCAGCAGGGTTTGGTTGCTTTAAATTACCTCTACAGACAAAATATTACATGCAAATTATTGTGATCCCATAGACTCCTCAGTTACCTTGATGAGTAGTGTGCTTGAATAGAATAGCATTTGTTTCTCTAAGCAGCCTCTCTATGTGTTGTGTCTGCATTCTGAGTGTCTGTACACACCTAAAGTAAACATTAAATAACCCTTTCAGTCAGATTTGTTAGCTTTTTTTCTAGTACTGTGTCTGTATTTCATAAATAGAAATGAAATGTATTTTTTGTCATTTACCAGCAGATGGCAGCAAATACATTTATTTTAAACACCCATCCATCCATTATCTGTTCACACTTGTCCCTATTGGGGTCGGGAGTTGCTGGTGTTTATCTCCAGCTGCGTTCCGGGCAGGCGGGGTCACCCTGGACAGGTCGCCAGTCTGTCGCAGGGCAGCGCAGAAACAAACAGGACAAACAACCATGCGCACACACACACTCCCACCTAGGGAGAATTTGGAAAGACCAATTAGCCTTTTGGACTGTGGGAGGAAGCCGGAGTACCCGGAGAGAACCCACACATGCACAGGGAGAACATGCAAACTCTATGCAGAAAGACCCTGGGCCGGGAATCGAACCCAGGACCTTCTTGCTGCAAGGCAACAGAGCTACCAACTGTGCCACTGTGCAGCCCCTTTTTTAAAAAAATAATCCTGCCCCCCCCCCAAAAAAAGGTTACTCTATGGTACAGTAATTTCTTACTTTATCTCTAAAAGTGTTAGGTCTTACCAAAAATCTGTTTCATAATTTTAAGCTGATGCACCTGTCCACTTTTAAAATTTATACCTGAGTAGCTTAATTGCATGGCTTCATGTTTACCAGTCAGCCTCACATTTTTCACGTTTCAGCGATATGAAAAGGTTAAATTTTTACCAAGTGACAGTTATTTATTGATGTTATCTCTCACCTAACCGGCAGAACTTAACAAGGGTGTGATGTGGCTTTTAGCCCTTGTGCTTTGCATGGCTGAAAAAGGCAACATTTTATAGTTTACTGATTAATTCAGAGATGTTTTGTGTGCCACTTCCAGTCGTGTTTGTAACATCATTTTTATGTATTTGGGTTTGATAACTTACTTTGTATTTTATGTTATCCCTATTAGGACAGCAGTCATCCTGAGACGCTGATCAACCTCATAGTGCTGACGCAACACCTGGGAAAACCTCCTGAGGTGAGAGCAAAGTTCATAGAGGTCTCTGCAGTGACAGCCGTCAGCTGGATCACTATACTTGGGACAAATCTATAAAGAACACTCTGTTCTGTGACCCTTCACGTCTAAATTAAACATGCACATTTAAGCAATTTTCTGTTTGCTTTGATTAAAACACTACATTGCTTACTGCTAACATCTTGTACCAATCACTTGAGCATTGGTTGTTACTCTCTCACCTTGTGAGAGAGTAAAGAGTTCATGAGATAAAAGGGAGAATAATCTGACTGATTGCACTGTACTAGAATGGTGACCATTATCACGGAGGCACCATTAACATGCGATAACAACTGATAATTACACCTTACTCAAGGTTACCTCAGAGACAATTTCTTAGCAAACTGGAAGGAAAAGGTAATTAGAGAATAATCTTAAAGATACGTTGAGTCAACTGATCATTAAGGTTGTGATGTTCAAATTGTTGGTTTGGTCACAAGGACCCCAAGTAATTATCAGCTGTGCAGCTTACATTAGTTTTAGGACACAGTTTGTCTTAAAGAATAGCAAGAAGCAACTACGATGCTGCAAAATATTAATTTTATGCAGATTATTATTTGTGTTAGCTTCAGAGTCTACATTTTACTAAATTCTGCTCAGTGGACGGTGTGGACAGCAGAGCCTCTTCTATTTCAGCCTTGTAGAAGAGCAGAAGCATGCATGCAAATGTCTCTTTGGCTAGAAGTAATAATTTGTTTAAGGCTCCTCCTGGTTAATAATCCTTCGTACTGACACCGAGCATCATGTGTTTGTGTTTCCTCAGGTCACCAATCGGTATCTCTCTCAGCTGAAAGATGCACACAAAGCTCACCCTTTCCTCAAAGATTATTTTGCCAAGGTAACAGCTGGATTATGCTCAAAGAGAAATATACTTATCCACTTATTCTCTAAATAAGAATCTCTGCTATGCTTTCTCAGCTTCCCTGTTTTGTAATAGTTACTGAACTGTTTGTAGTGCTAGTTGGCAGCAAGTATCCTTGGATCTAAGCCGAGCAGAGCATTAAACGTTCACCCTTTGCTGTCGCTTTGTGATGCAATCACACTGGAGTACAAACGTACATAAACATGCTAAAAATGAGTTAACAACCTGACTGAGACAGACAAGTCAGTTTAATAACTAGAATTTGGTGTTTCTGGTGTCTAACTATTTTGTTTCGGGGTTTTTTGCAGGAGAATGAGTTTGACAGACTAGCAATGCAGTACGCCCCCACCGTTACAGCATAGACCTTCTGTTTTCCCACAAAACTCCCTCAACAGTGGACTTTGGGGAAATGACCATGAAGATAACCCTGTTTCTCCCTGTCATACGTTTGGTTTTTGATGGGTTTTTTTTTTTCCTGTTTAAAACCTTGGCTGTATTTAAACCACATTAGAAATGCATTTATATATCTGCCCTACAAATTTACATTTATTGTAGGGACAGCCACATTTGTTATACAAGCATTCCTTTGAAATGTTAATAAATGATTGGAAAAATACCGAGCGGTTTGTGTTAATATGGGTAAAAATCTACTTAAACAAATCAACTTTGAAATATTTGTCATTTTAGATGTACAGATACAGTTTGTTGAATTGAAAGATGGGTGAACATTCTTATGAGGAATGTGTATTTCAAGAGTTTTTGTTTTATTTTAATTATAATCTGCTGTAAATAAATACACAATTAAGTTTCTTAGAAGATGAGGATATAACCATGAATAATTAACAGCTACTGGAAAAGTAGCTCTGGGTGCTTGGTTGAGTTCTCCTTACTTTAATTACTTCAGATTATCTGCATTGTTGGGTCTGGTGTCTCATCTTCAGTCAGGTTTGTTGGCCACTCAAGCGCAGTGATACCTGAGTTATTAAGGCGGGTATTTAATACTTTGGACAGGTGTAAAGTCCTCCAATATAACTAGATAATCTCTACTAAGCTAATTTTTAGAGTGCTTTCATGTGTCCAGCTATTCAGATGCCTGAGTGGATTTGATAAAACACCAGCAGATAACATGGGTCATCAAATCTGTGGAAACCTCAAACTTTACTTCCAGCAGCTTTGATCCTGTTCCTCTCCACTCTTCCCTCACATTCTTGGACCTGAATTCTCAAATTCGAAATGCACAAGACAAAAATAAAAGGTAAAGGTGATTTTATTTAGCACATTTTCAGCGACATCTGCATTGTTGGGTCTAGTGTTTTATACAAATTAAAAGGAAATACAAGCAAATTAACAAACCAAAGGAAAGAGAAAAGAAAAAGAATCTAAAGTTGATCTATCCAAAGTATATAAACTAGATACTTCTATTCAGGGTTGGTAGATAAGTATAAGTAAATATCCTCTGGACTTTAAATATGCTCTAAATTTGTAAAAGTAATGAGTAATACACAGTTTCTAGGTAATAAAAACTAAATGTTCCTGTTCTGCAAGATTTTTTTTCTAGATTCTAAGTTTGTTCTAATTAAGTTTGTATACACATATATATAATTTTTTTCATTCTTTGAAGATTTTTTTTTTGAAGATTATGTTATTAATCTGTAAATAAAACAAATAAAAAATTGCCCTAAAAGGTGAAAAGGTGTGTGTCTGCCTCAACATTGCAGGTCGGGGGTCCGCCCAAAGTCCTGCAGAGGGCCGCAAACGGCCCCCGGGCCGCACTTTGGACACCCCTGTGGCGGTGTACGTGTTTCTCTGCGCTGTCACTTTAAACCATTCTTTCAGTTCCTCGGTGGTCTAAGTGGAGTTCACGAAGAAGATAGCGGGCCTGTAATTGCTACGTCACGCCCTTACGCTAGTTGTTTTTTTTTTTGTTTGTTTTTTTTTTTTTCATAAACGCAGCTCAGCCATAAAAGCAGACTGTCCTCTTTTCTTTGAACGCACCAGTTGATATCCGCTGTGGGGCTGAGAGCGCCTCGTCAAAACGCAGCGTCGGACACGTTGACCGGCGCCGCAGAAAGAGAAGAAGAAGAAACGACGCGTGCCTTCATAGACCGGCTTATATGTCACTCTGATTCTATTTTCACCGGAGTAACTCGTCCGTGCCTCCGAGCGGCCGCGCTCCCTCATGAAGCGGCAGAGGGTCGTTATATAAGGCGGATAGCGGTCCGAGATGAGAGCGCGTCTCTGACAGCGGAGCGGCAACAATAGTCTGTCTGGCCGGGCTCGGTTTAAAGGTTAATTCAGTAACGGTCCCGCTAACACCGGGGAAGCTGCTCCCTCCACTGCGCTGTCCGTTTGGTTAACTGTAAGCTAGGCGGCTAACCTGCCGCAGAGGAGCCGTGTGCGTAGCGGAATGATGAGCGGGATGAACCACCAAGCTGCCGCAGATGGGTCGGATTAACTTCAAGAAAAACCCTTCCTGTAATTTCTATTTAAATTTTTAATCACCGCCTTTGGTTTGATCCGGCACCGAAGATTTATTTTTTTTATTTTTTTCCAATGAAAGAGCAAAAAAAAAACATGGGCCCATGTCTTAATTTGGGAAACAAAAAATTAGGCGCCTAAAGAGGGGATAAGCTTGTTAGATAAGCTTGCTCTGGGTGCTTTATTGAGCCAACAAGCCTGGTGAGCGGTCAGTCTGGACTCCCTCTGCTCCTCTCCCGGTTTTTACCTTCTCTGTCGTCGCAGCGATGGGCAGCGCCGGGTCGGTGGAAGTCGAGCCCATGCCGGGGTACTGGGAGCTCATCACCAGAGGCTCCAGCGCCATGCTGGGCGCATGGAGGGACTGTGATCACTGGGGTCTGGAGTCCTCCAAACGGACCCTCTTGGATAACGCACACATCACCTGGACCGAAATCGCCCTCTTTTTCTTTTGCGCCTTTTTGTGGACGATAATCAGGAAGAGACTGACAGAAAGTCTGTTTAAGGTAGGTGAAATACACACGCACACACAGCTACTCAATGCTCCTTCCTCTGAGGCGCATTGCCTCTAAGATGCCAAAAAAAAAAAAAAAAAAAAACCACGAGCGAGAGGAGGCAGTGCTTGTCGGACAGGTGGGACACATGTTCACACGCACACAGCCGGAAAAGCCAGAGCTTACCCTCTCCGCAGAGAGCTTAACCACAATGTCAGAAAATATTAACCTGACTCACACAGGCGTTCAAATAACACAGCTGCTGCATTCACAGTCTGCTCTTACTCTCTAGTTTGGGGACTGTGAGTCATTCAAGATGGTCGGCTCAAGCTGGGCATGGAAGTGTGTGCCCACGTGTAACTGCGATGCACATGCTCTGATCATGCGTGTGTGAGAAAAAGGCCTCGCACTTGTTACTGTGGGGCCACCCACGGCAGGAGACCTTCGTCGTATTTACTCCTGTGCGGCACAAATGTGGAACATATTGAAGGAAGGCCTTGTGTGCGCCGTGCAATCATGTTCACATTTATTTTCCCCATTTTGTCATGTTGCAACAAAGTGTTTTAAGTGTCTAGATAGGGAAAAATTGTAAAATGGTGTGAAAATAATATGCATATGTACAAAATGTCTTTATTTATTTCAGTGTAAGTAATATGGAATAAAATGTTGCTGCAGTTATAAGTGAAATCCATATTCTTCTTTGAAAAATGGCTTTAGCTCTGTCACAATGTCTGGAAAGCATCTGTGAATAGAAGTCATCAAGTCTTCTGAGTTGAATCTGGGTCTGGGCTTCATTGGCCCAGTTGACGTCAAGAACACTTTGTTTGATTCAAGTTCTTCATAATATTGTAGGCGCGTCCTTTTCGCACCTGATTCACCTGACTGCATTATGTATTGATAGCAAGTTATCAAGAATGTTAATTATCCATTCTATGCATCAGGTGTGTGGTTGGTCCTAAAGACACTGATCTAAAGCACATCTAATGTAGTTTGACTGTTTGTGCAGGGTGCCGGTTCTGCTGGTGTCATTAACCACGGGTCTTAGGATTTTGTTAATTTTCTAGCTTTTGCTCGTTTTGGAAGAAGGCCAGCCTCCCCACAGCACAATGCTGCCACCGCCATAATTCACTGTGTTCAGGGAGATGTGTTGTGTTAGGTTACACAATATTTCAAATGCTCGCAAAAAAATCTAATCTTAGTCCACATTTGTTGAGCGCACAAATAATAATTGTCATGGCAACAGACAGTTTCGTCCACCTGAGCTTTGGATTTCTGCAGCAAAATTATGTTATGAAATCATTATGTTAATTCTGAAGGCATTCGTTTGTGCAGGGTTTTATTCAGGATTAACAAAGTATCCCCTTAATTTTGGGAGATCGGTGATCGGCCGATACTTGCATGCGAAGCCAATCTTGACCCCCAATCCTCCTTCAACAAATGACGAAAACCCACCTGTTGCCCTCTTCTGCTTTCCAGTGAGAGAGGTTTGACGGGCCACCAGGTCATGTCTGCACATTTGCAGTTAACAATAATCACCCCACTTTTGTCAATTCAGTGACTTTTCTTGCTATGTTTAGCAACATTTCAGACAAAAATCTGAGTCGGCAGGTCAGGCAGAAAACTGCAATCTGTTTTACTCTTGAAGTGATGAAAGCACAGAGTGTTAAGCTATTACATAAAATTTCAAAGTGCACTGAAAGAAAATCAGAAAAAATCCCAAGGAGTAAAAATATGTTTGCAAATCTCAACAACACTTTTACTATTTCTTCTGTCAGGCACTTTTACAACCAATCAGCAATAGTCTCAATAAATAAATAAAAAATTATAGATTATTTTATGTCGAATGATACAGTAATTATTATCATGAAGATAAGTGAGAAGAACTCTTTCGTCTTACTGTCTTTGCATTTTGGTAACCTGCTGAAAGCATGATGAGGTCAGTTCAAAATGTCAGAAACAGAGACCCATTTTGAAGTGGAATTTCTTCACAAAAAGTGCTGAATTGGTACAGCACTTTTTGTGGTTATTTGTTGGAGGTAAAACTGCTGAATGTTAGCAGTCACCAGAAAATTAGCTACCGCAGCAATCAAAGTATCCCTTCATGCTATAAAAAGATCAAACACCGTCTTTAGAGAAATCACATGGTGCTGCTGGAAAACTATGGCGTGCTTGGAGATATGCGCTTACAGAACTGCAACAACTCCAAAAGCAGCAATCTCACCCCATTTTGTCTAGCAGACACTCAAGCTGTCATCTGGCAGGACTGGACCTCTGCCCAGATCTTCTATATTCTCCTCCTTACCCATCCAAGACCCCGGGATTCCTCCTTCCTCTTTCTGCTGTTAGGTCATGCCAAGCAAGATTCGTCTCTGCACAGAAATCCTGGATGTGGCTTTTGAGATACAGACGGCAGAGAGCATCATGCAGGATCTCAGGGCAAATCCAGACTGAAAAAACTCTGAAAGAGGCCTGCTTTATCTTTTACAGTGTATAATTATGTCTTACCGGCACAGCACCCTTACGATATTATCAGACTGATTGGTAATTAGTGCCTAAACTGCCTGTTATTGAGTTCATGTCAAATCCAACTGGAGAGGGCGAATGTTAGGGATGAGGCGGGTGGTTTCAGAGCAGGTCAGCCATGCAGAGATAATTAAATTTTATACAGTATTATTGTTATACATTATAAAACCAAACTTAGCTGTCAGGGAAGCAGAAGTAGATTGTTTGTGTTCTTGTTTCTTCTGAACACATCCCACTAGCCTGAAACAAAACCAGATTGTTTCTCATTAAGGAGACTGACATGTATTTAATAGCTGCCTTGTAAAGATTGATGGTGTGCTTTTTACTGTATTGACATGTGCTGTTGCTGTGGTTTCTTCAATGGAATGAAGAAATTACATCTAACAATGTATACACATCACATCGTTAGAGCTCATAAGAACCTGTAATTGCTGACTGTTAACATGGACTTTAGTTGACAAAGTTCTTTCAATGTTTTAAGACCTTAAAACTTTATCTGCAAACATTTATTAGCCGATTCACAGAAAAATACTTAGACTTTTTGTCAAAACCGAACCTGGTATACCTTTTGCACTAGTGTGAACTGAATTTTAAAGAATCGGGAGCGCTGTTAAAATATCAACTGTAATTACAGAGCGCTCCACAATTATTGCCACTCTAAGTTGATGACCGTTTGTGGGAACGTTTCATAAGTAATAGATGACGTCCAGTGTCCCTGCAGTAAATTTATGATGTGGCACAGATGTGAATTTCTTTAAAATGGGAAAAATAGGGGAACCTGCTAAGCAAAGCAAATGTGTGTTGGGATCAGAAACTTATGAATGTAATTTGTTGACAATTGATCAGTTTAATAACTAAAGAGTATTTAAAATTTTAAAGCAACATTTTAATTTTATTTTATACTGAGTTAAAAAAAATACAGTTTGACTGCAACTCGTTAAAATGGGAAAGACAAGAGAACATGCCATTCAGTCGAGGAAGATTTATGTTAGCAGGAAAACCTGCTTCTGTCTAATTTATTTACACCAAGCAAAATGGCAAACAGAAAAACATAACATTTAATTAACCTCGATAAGTCAAACATGACAACAAGAAAATAGCTTGAAGTCAAATCAATACATACAAAGTTTTAGTATTAGCACAAAGTTCAGGAATGTCACAGCAGGGGATCTGGGGGTTGTCCAATCTGACCGTCATTTCCACAAGAAAAACCTTATATAAGCGCAAGCAGGGTCAGTGTGTCCCCACTGGACTGCGCACAAAGTAGAAAGCTTGCCTGACCCAACATACTCTATCTCTCGATACTGTGTTTAAACAGCTGTAATTGTAAGCAGTGTGAGTCTATCCTACAATAACAAAGTTGTTTTTGCAAGTTGTGAGTAACTTTAGAGGGCGTTGTATGTTTTTAAATTTAAAGACCAAATTCATCAGATAAAAATGATTCATAAAGATACTGTAAGTCAACTTTAATGTCAGAATTTCAGAGGTTGTTGCTCCACAGTGTCTGTCCGCCAAGCGGCAATAAAAACTTTATTCGTTTCATGGTCAGTTACTTACAGCACTGTAGGTTTGGTTTGATGAGTTGACTAACTTAAGACACATATCGTGTATTGTAATCATTACTCTCCCCTGCTCAGGAAGTGCTTCTGTTTTTTACTGCGGGTTACAGACTCGCCTTGATTTTTCTCTTAGTCAGGAGTTGGACGAAACAGTTAAGAGACACGTCAGAGCAAAAAATCTTGACTCGTTTGTAATGTAAGAACACGTTTAAAACTAAATTGTTGGGCTTTTATGACGGATAATTTTCAGATAACTCAAGTGGCAGAGCTTCGACCCAAACATGGACGGTGTGTGATAATCCGTTAAATTGGGGAATTCAATGTGTTGCCATCGTTTCACATGTGACCGAGCTCATCTGTTGAGCAGCTCGTTGGGGGTTGTTATCGCTCTGTCGCCCAGAAAGGTGTTTCACATTTGCTTTGATGCGTGGCTGCATGAGGCACTGCAACACACATCCAGGTTGAATGAACTTCTTTTACAAGCCACCGTTACGTAAGATAACCATGCTCTTCTTTGTCAGTTGACAGCGTTGTAACACTTGGCTGTTCAAAGAAAAACTAAATGTGGCTGTTAAGATAAGAGCTGAAAAGCTCTTCTGAGGAACAAGCATGTAAATGTTACACTTGGAGTTCCCAGCTATGACTTCTTCCTCATTTTCTTTTTAGCTCTGCTCTGCACAATTTTGAGAAGGCTCACGCAGCTTTTGATGTGTTCAGATTTGCTTGCATGATGTGACCAATGGTGTAACATTTGCATCTGTGTGTACAGCCTGAGGGTGCAGGATGGTTTCAGATGCAGAAAATTCTCATCGTCTCTGCATGCTCTTTCTCGTTCTAGAAAGCGTAGAAGCAGTTCGTAAGAAGCGCGCGTTGCTTCAACAGGAAGTAAAAACGTTCATTAAAAAAAAAATGGAGAAGAAAATAGAGTTC